TAGCGACAATTTTCGAATCGGTATCGGTTTTTTTGACGTATGATATGAAATATTTGTATGCCAACAAGTGCGATATCGATCCGAAACTTGTCGCTAACTGGTTAGGTCTCCCCCCTGAAAAGCTTCTTCATCCGATCATTTTCTTCATTAATTCATTCATCTCATTTCATTTTTCTTGAACCTTGGATCGACTAAGGTTAAAACTGATAAAATAATATTTCCCTGTTGCGATAAGTTCAAGTGTTTTAGCCGATATCATATAAGGTTGGTGTTATGCAGAAATTTTGTTTGGCAAACTGCGTGCAATTATTCTCGCCGCTCTAAGGTGTCAACTCTACGATGACGTCACGAATTGTGCTGCAATCGGCGCAAACGTGTATTCTATCATTCTTGTATTGGCTATACATACATATGCATGTAGATGATATCCTCCAGTTAAGTTAATGTGATATATTGACATACGAGCCCTAGTATAAAGTACATGCATATGTAGTTATGTATGTATGAGTATATCGATTGTGTTAATTGAATCATTAATTAATAATACTTTTTTCGTCTCTCCTTTATTTTTCTGTTTTCATTTTCAGTCCTCCGAAAAGTTGAAAGCCTGCAGCACGATGAAACGCGTTGAGCCACATCAGAATTTCGAAGAGACAATAAGACGCGTAACTATGAATTAAAATTTTACTGAATAAATCTTTTTCCTTAATGGTATTTATTTCTTTCCCCATTTCATACAGTTGAAGACGCAAAAGAAAAAAGCTGAATCACATGACAAAGGAATACACGACAGGGGCAAAGAGGTGGCGCACACCATGGTCAATGAAATGCCACTCAACAATTATACGAAGCATCCTTAGGACATGGCAATAAGCGAGGCGACGGAGGCAAAGGAGCAAAAAGAGTCAAATGATGTAAAAGAGGTGAAAGAGACGAATGTAGTGGAAACGGCCCAGGAGGCAACAGAAGGCGGTAAAGAGGGCGCTAGGGACACCGATATTGTGACGAAATGCAGCAGAAACTTTGGGAAAAAGGAAATAAATGAAATTGACAAACATATCTACGAAAATCAACTGTGAAAAGGAAGAAATAAGTGCAGTAAAAGGATAAGAGGAGCTGTTGGGTAAGGACATAGGAAATAACTCATCAGATGCGGAGATGGTGCGAAAATGATAATAACTTTGCGGTTGTAATTATACATTCAATTTTCCATTTCTCGAATTGCCTGACTCGAAGCGAAAAGTGAAAAATGTCAATATCACAAAGAAAAAAAGCAATTTCTGTAGTTTCTCCTTGCCTGTAGAATTTGCTGGATAAATTAGTTTCATTTGCAGTTTTAAAAGAAATATTGGCATTGGTGATGCCGCAAGCGTGAAAGGGAATAGAGAGCGAAACGCATAAATGTGAATGGCAAAAACCTCAATTAAAATCCGCAACAATAATTTAAGTCCTTTCGATGGACCGAACCGAACGCAGGGCAGACATAGTACCTACGTACATATTATTCACTTAAGGTCCCCATACACAGGCACACACGGCAACCACTGAGTCAACGTTCGGTACATGCACGCATTAAATTTTACACATATGCACATATTCATACATACACATGTATGCATTCATAGAAAAGGGAATATGCAATAAATTAGGCACATCAGTCACTTTCACAGTCGGAGCTGCGAAGTTTTCTTGCCCCGGCCGTTGACCAAGTAAATGGACGAGACCAACGAGTGAGGAAAATCTTTTCGTGCGCCAATGTGCTTAAAAAGGGATAACAACGTCCGATACACCAGGGATTAGCAGTGAATGAGCGCAAACCAAATGGCCAACAAACAGACGGACATATGGGGAGATTATGGACTTGTGGACTGGGCGTATAGCACAGTGTGAGTGTGTATTTTGGTGTGGCGAGCAATTGCTTAATGGGTATACCGATGCCATTTCGATCGACACCACCAACTGACCGAAAAGGCTTTTCCTGCATGCATACACCTACATGCTTTTACAAATACTTACATACATACATATGTATATACATTTGTATCTATATGACTTATCGTATTGGCACGCTGGTATTTCATGCGGGTTTTCCAACACACACATGTACATACACATCGTTACCTTCATTCACAAAGGCCCTATCCAAATTTTTTTTTGTTTTACAGGAGAAGTAAAAAAACATTATAAAAATTCAAATCATGCATACGTAAAAGACGTTTTAAAAAGTGGCATCACTCCGTTGTTTTTTGTACTAACACTTTCAAATTTTTAGTGAAGGTTTTTTTAATATATCCTTCCAAATCGATAAAGTTCAGATTACCCTATGAAAACGTCTTAACGGGTTGAAATCGGTACCAAAATTTATATGTAATATCCTCGTCTTTAGTAGTATCGATTTTGGGTATTAAATGAAAAAAACAAAAATTTTTTGAATCTATAATCGGGACCAAAATTTATAAGTGATATCTGTGACCGTGGTATTACCGATTGAGAGGATGAGACTGAAAAAAATCGCTCATATGATTTTTAAGGACCAGCCAGCAAAGGAACCTTTGTTTTGTGGATTGCGCATTTTCCGTATATTTTTTGTATCCGAAAAAGGGAAGAAAATTATTATTTTTTTGTATTCAAGTTAGTCCTGAAATGTTTACACAGGAAAAAAATAATTCTCCGAGTAATGAACTCTAAGTGAATCCGCTAAATTCAAAAAAATCTTCCGCCATTTTGGATCCACTATTATGAACTAAAAAAAATTACTTCAGATTCATTATCAGTTGAAGTGCCGAAAAATGGAAAAAATGGCAAATAAAAAAAAAACAATTTTAAATAGAATTGTGCCACAGTTTTTCCGAAGAAAAAACCACGTCTTAATGAAAATCCAATTCGTCTGATGGATACTAACTCATGTCGATTTTTTTTTTTAATTTTCCACCCCTTTTTACTAAATCCATCGACATGAGGTAGAATTGGTCAGACAAACTGAATTTTCATTAATTCGTGATTTTCCTTTGGTAAAACTACATTCAAATTCTATTTTGAACCTTTTTTTTGAAATTTAGCATTTTTCGAAACTTCAACAGTTTTTTTTTCTCGAAAGCTCAGCGTGCTAGAAGAATTTTGTAAAAGCACTTCAAATCAGCACCAAAAAAACCATAAGACGAGGTCGGCCCTGTTTTTGAGATAAAGTACGAAAAACTTGTTTTGTACTGTGTTATCAGAGACGAAAATTATTTTTTTCCTGTGTAAACATTTCAGGACTAACTTGAATACAAAAAAATAATAATTTTCTTCCCTTTTTCGGATACAAAAAATATACGGAAAATGCGCAATCCACAAAACAAAGGTTCCTTTGCTGGCTGGTCCTTAAAAATCATATGAGCGATTTTTTTCAGTCTGATCCTCTCAATCGGTAATACCACGGTCACAGATATCACTTAAAAATTTTGGTCCCGATTATAGATTCAAAAAATTTTTGTTTTTTTCATTTAATACCCAAAATCGATACTACTAAAGACGAGGATATTACATATAAATTTTGGTACCGATTTCAACCCGTTAAGACGTTTTCATAGGGTAATCTGAACTTTATCGATTTGGAAGGATATATTAAAAAAACCTTCACTAAAAATTTTAAAGTGTTAGTACAAAAAACAACGGAGTGATGCCACTTTTTAAAACGTCTTTTACGTATGCATGATTTGAATTTTTATAATGTTTTTTTACTTCTCCTGTAAAACAAAAAAAAATTTGGATAGGGCCTTTGTGAATGAAGGTAACGATGTGTATGTACATGTGTGTGTTGGAAAACCCGCATGAAATACCAGCGTGCCAATACGATATGTCATATAGATACAAATGTATATACATATGTATGTATGTAGGTATCTGTAAAAGCATGTAGGTGTATGCATGCAGGAAAAGCCTTTTCGGTCAGTTGGTGGTGTCGATCGAAATGGCATCGGTATACCCATTAAACAATTGCTCGCCACACCAAAATACACACTCACACTGTGCTATACGCCCAGTCCACAAGTCCATAATCTCCCCATATGTCCGTCTGTTTGTTGGCCATTTGGTTTGCGCTCATTCACTGCTAATCCCTGGTGTATCGGACGTTGTTATCCCTTTTTAAGCACATTGACGCACGAAAGGATTTTCCTCACTCGTTGGTCTCGTCCATTTACTTGGTCAACGGCCGGGGCAAGAAAACTTCGCAGCTCCGACTGTGAAAGTGACTGATGTGCCTAATTTATTGCATATTCCCTTTTCTATGAATGCATACATGTGTATGTATGAATATGTGCATATGTGTAAAATTTAATGCGTGCATGTACCGAACGTTGACTCAGTGGTTGCCGTGTGTGCCTGTGTATGGGGACCTTAAGTGAATAATATGTACGTAGGTACTATGTCTGCCCTGCGTTCGGTTCGGTCCATCGAAAGGACTTAAATTATTGTTGCGGATTTTAATTGAGGTTTTTGCCATTCACATTTATGCGTTTCGCTCTCTATTCCCTTTCACGCTTGCGGCATCACCAATGCCAATATTTCTTTTAAAACTGCAAATGAAACTAATTTATCCAGCAAATTCTACAGGCAAGGAGAAACTACAGAAATTGCTTTTTTCTTTGTGATATTGACATTTTTCACTTTTCGCTTCGAGTCAGGCAATTCGAGAAATGGAAAATTGAATGTATAATTACAACCGCAAAGTTATTATCATTTTCGCACCATCTCCGCATCTGATGAGTTATTTCCTATGTCCTTACCCAACAGCTCCTCTGATCCTTTTACTGCACTTATTTCTTCCTTTTCACAGTTGATTTTCGTAGATATGTTTGTCAATTTCATTTATTTCCTTTTTCCCAAAGTTTCTGCTGCATTTCGTCACAATATCGGTGTCCATAGCGCCCTCTTTACCGCCTTCTGTTGCCTCCTGGGCCCTTTCCACTACATTCGTCTCTTTCACCTCTTTTACATCATTTGACTCTTTTTGCTCCTTTGCCTCCGTCGCCTCGCTTATTGCCATGTCCTAAGGATGCTTCGTATAATTGTTGAGTGGCATTTCATTGACCATGGTGTGCGCCACCTCTTTGCCCCTGTCGTGTATTCCTTTGTCATGTGATTCAGCTTTTTTCTTTTGCGTCTTCAACTGTATGAAATGGGGAAAGAAATAAATACCATTAAGGAAAAAGATTTATTCAGTAAAATTTTAATTCATAGTTACGCGTCTTATTGTCTCTTCGAAATTCTGATGTGGCTCAACGCGTTTCATCGTGCTGCAGGCTTTCAACTTTTCGGAGGACTGAAAATGAAAACAGAAAAATAAAGGAGAGACGAAAAAAGTATTATTAATTAATGATTCAATTAACACAATCGATATACTCATACATACATAACTACATATGCATGTACTTTATACTAGGGCTCGTATGTCAATATATCACATTAACTTAACTGGAGGATATCATCTACATACATATGTATAGCCAATACAAGAATGATAGAATACAAGTTTGCGCCGATTGCAGCACAATTCGTGACGTCATCGTAGAGTTGACACCTTATAGGGCTTTCGCACGAGGCGATTTTTCAGGCAACTTTTAGTTGAAAGCAAAAATCGCCTCGTCCGAACGGCCTTTCAACTAATCGCTTTCAACAAAGTTGGTCGCCAGCCAACTTTGAGCTCGTTCAACTTTTTTTC